ACTTTTTCAAGAAGCGTGTCATCATTCAAAGGACAATTAATAGGAACATCAGTATCTTCAACATTCTCCGTTGATGCTGAAGACTCCTTGAGCATGAAAAACACAATCTGTGTCCTCACTATATTAGAAATCTACTGAGAATATTTACCGTGTTCAAAACAAGCTGAGCGATGTCATTCTTTTGAAAACGTGTTCGTTTACCCATTTTCCCTGCCAGTTCCATATTCAGACCGGAAATTTCCAATGCTCGTCTGCAATAAGAGTGACCTCTGATTCATAATTAATAGCAAAGTTTAGACGTTAAGAGGGAACTAAGTTAAGCGATAGACTTTTGAGCGATGGAAGAATAAAGTAAGATAGATAGAAACACACTTTATGCACTCCGAGCATTTCTCATAGCTGTAGTAAATCAAATGCGCATTAGCCCTCTCCAACCAATATTGCACTTCCTCCTCATGGTCCAATTCACTAAAATCTATCTTCTCTGCCTAAAAATCAAAATTTGGTCTCTTATATGATTACCCAAAACAATAAACTAACGATATTATCCATACGATCTCTGAGGGCTGTACAAGGTTCACGAAGAATCTTTTGCCATAATAGCAGAACTCTGAATAGCATGCGACTAGATGTGTTAGGCTTTATCATACATTCCTTACTTGAAGGCAAGTAGTCTGGCGTGCGAACATGATCCGATTAAATGGGTTTGGTCCAAAAGTGCTATCTTGGCAAGATGAAGTAGTGGCAGTAATCTGAGAATGGTGGATAACATAAGGGAAATTTTGTATACATCATCCGATCATTTAAAAGAAAGAATAGCCCAATTATGAAAGATTGATGAATTTCCAGATTTGAATAATTCTATTGAAGCTTCTAATTATGCTTACTCTGAGAGTTCTGATTTTCAACATGAATACTTGAAGATTCCCAAAATTTCAACAACATAGCGGTAATGTAAAATCACACTTCAAAAACAGAACCAATTCATATTAAATGTTCAAAAACCAAATTATTTCAGAAACCTGGCCGGTAAAAGCATGTGGTGTCTGTTTACAAATAATATACTCATTATTAGGCGGTGTTCGTTGTGAAATGTGCACAAGAACCTGAGCTGTCTTTATCTTACAGCACAAATTATCAAAATCCTTGTGTAGTAGCATGATTAGCTACAAGACAGATTTTAAAAAAGCTTAAGCAAGAGAAATTGTCCACGAATAGAGCTTGAACAATAATTTTAGGCCAAAACTCCTAAATAAGTAAACAATTTCTTGCAACAACGCGTATGGTACAATTCCTTTTGAAACAACAAAGCTACATTGTGATTCGAATGCCATCAAAGCATACAAATGCTACATACCTGACTTTGGAGTAAGGTTCATTGAAATCAAATTTCAGCTCTGAGAGTGCAAGATCGTGAGACATGAATGTAGGAAGAGCAGAAGACGCTAAAACGATTCTATAAGGTAAGAAGAATAGAGAGTCCCTAATTTCCTTTAACTATTCTAGCAGACTAACATGCTGTGAGCCCGACTCAAACATTAGGTTGCCGCATAATATTTACCTAACGTTATTTTCGTGAATTTCTTCCCATTTTTGACCATATGCTGTATACGACCTACCCTTTCTTCGTGCGTTTTTCTTGACTTTTGCAATAAATGGGAAGTCAGTTAGACAGAAAACAACATTCTTGACATTAGGCATTGTTGACTCCCAAAGTGACCAAAAAACTGCGAATGGGCTCGTAATGATACCCACCACGTAGCAGTCCCTGCTCCAAAGAATTGTGATTTCCCCTCCCCCCTCTTCCCCCAATTCCCAGCCATAGACAAGGATGGCTACTACAGGAAAGTTTTGAACAATTTCTCCATGCGAGCGTTTGTAGGCGATGGACTATGCTCAACGAATGTTTATCACTGTAAGTCTTGTAATTGATCAATTGCTCCAAATGATTCGCGCGCACACAAAGCCTCAAAACGTTCCTGTTGGCATCGACAAATTTTTGAATGGGAGGAGGTCTAAGCAAAAATGAACACTGTATTTCGCTGTCTACTACTATCATTTTTAATAAATTGCTTTTCAACCAAGAAGTCGCGCTGATGGACAAAAATAAATCTTAAGAGTGGAAAATGCTGCTTTTGGCAGATGTTTTCCAATTTGAAAAAACTAATTACCATTAATCAAATATCAATCAAATCAAGATATGGAACGTGGTTTTTTAGCATTAAAAACCTTTAAACTACATCTTTCGTCAATATAATAGTTTTAAAAAATATAATCACTATCTGGTCCTAGTCCTTTTTTCACAAACAATTATGTCAACGGAGTCGCTCACTCAAAGTAGCTCGTGATCTCACTTTATCACATGATACAACCATCCTCAGCTGACCGAACATTATAAGTGATAATCACAAATGTAAAAACACATATTTTAAATCGGTCACTCTTATGCAGTCCAATCACTTTGTAAAAAACAAAAAACTACGAGCACACACTTTTCATTTCGAATGAAACATAGATAATCGAAAGGTTAGACAAGTAAATTAACCAAAACTGCAAATTATCCAACAGCTCCACCAATGTTTTAAAAAGTTGTCCAATCCGACTTTGAAACACAAGTATTTCTACTCTAACAAGG